TAATTATTGCTCGCTTTTGCAAAGTCAACACATAGAAATCCTTTACATATTTTTGAATGAGAAATGATTTTAAAAAAACTTAATTTTTAGTTATCTCCCTTTACCTGTTTGATCTCAAACTTCATCTCCATCATGGTTCTGTTGACTATTTCCTGTGGGCGGGGAGACTTCAGATTCTCCTATCAATCAAAAAATTATAACCAATCATGTTCTTTACCAGAAGTTAAAAACAAAATAAAGGAGGATATATGGTTGGATGATGTTTCATTGTTCAATATGAACAGCAAAGGCACTCAATTGATCAAAATGTTGCATTGGAGTTACATGGTATAAGGTCTCTGTGACGGAACATAATCATATCTTCTAAATTAGCAAATGGAGAAAATCTCTGAATAAAATTATCTGAAAGGGTTTAAACAGAAATGACATTAACTTTTTTTCTTGCAGTTGTACAGATAATACCCTACTTAAGTAAATATTTCACGCCAATGTCAGAAATTTCCCTGTTTCTTGTAGTAGTGTATAATTAAATTGCAAATTAAACTTTGTGTTGATTAGTTTGACACAAAAGCCTGTTTTTTGTGATTTAATATCACTTTTATACCATGTTTCCGTGATAAGGTTAATTATTTTTACTCAATCACTCCCGTAGATAATATTTACCATTTCCGCCAGTTCTGCTGACACATCCACCACTTTCTTCATTAACTGGTTCTCGTTAATGTCCAGAGGTACGTCAAGGGCATCCTGGGATTCAAAACACGCGCGTTAAACAGATAAATAACATGAAATGACCCAATCACATAATTCCAAGAAAACAATTAAAGTTCATATCGTAAATTATATATATCATCAATAAACAAATGAAACGTTAACTATTCACTATTATCAGGCTATGATATCTTGAAAAAGATGTCACTTATTTTTTGACATTATGTTTAAGTCTAATGTAACTTTTTGGAAACATGCATTTTGATTGCCTTGTCGTTTTTTCTATGTTTTCTTAAACGTACTTTAAAAATTTACGATTTACAGTCCTTTGTTTAGTACTTTTTATGCAATTTACAGCTGTTTTATAGTACTTTAACAGTACTTTGATTTACAGTACTGTATTTAGTACTTTTTATGTGATTTACAGTAGTTTTATAGTGCTTTGTTTTACAGTAGTTTGATTTACAGTGCTTTGTTTTACAGTAGTTTGATTTACAGTGCTTTGTTTTACAGTACTTTGATTTACAGTGCTTTGTTTTATAGTACTTTGATTTACAGTGCTTTGTTAGTACTTTATATGAGATTTACAGTTGTTTTATAGTACATAGTTTTATAGTACTTTGTTTTATAGTACTCACTGCAAACAATTCCTCCTCCTCCAGTCCCACTGCTTCCTCTCCCTCCGGTAGGGGGATACTCTGGGCTAACTGGAGAATCTCCTGTAACCTCAGGTCAGACAGGCTGAGGCTCAGCAGGGGGAGATCCCCAGAGACCTTGATCCTGTGATAAAAACAGAAAACTTATATATAGTAACAGACAGGCTGAGGCTCAACTGGGGGAGATCCCCAGACACCTTGATCCTGTGATAAAAACAGAAAACTTATATATAGTAACAGACAGGCTGAGGCTCAGCAAGGGGAGATCTCCAGACACCTTGATCCTGTGATAAAAACAGAAAACTTATATATAGTAACAGACAGGCTGAGGCTCAACAGGGGGAGATCTCCAGAAACCTTAATCCTGTAATAAAAATAGAAAACTTATATATAGTAACAGACAGGCTGAGGCTCAATAGGGGGAGATCTCCAGAGACCTTGATCCTGTAATAAAAATAGAAAACTTATAACAGAGGCTCAACAGGGGGAGATCTCCAGAGACCTTAATCCTGTGATAAAAATAGAGAAGTTATATATACATGTAGTAACAGACAGTCAGACAGACTGAGGCTGAACAGGGGGAGATCTCCAGAGACCTTAATCATGTGATAAAAATAGAGAAATTATAATTAATGACCATCAGAGAGACCGAGGCTCAGCAGGGGAAATCACCAGAAACCTTTATCCTGTGATAAAAATAGAAAACTTATAATTTTAGTAAAAGACATTAAGACAGACCAAGGTTCAGCAAGGGGGGGAGGTCATTGGAAACATTTATTCTGTGATAAAAATATAAGGTAAATGTAGGTCAGAATGACTGAAGCTCAGCAAGGGCAGATCATCAGAAATATAAACTATTTGTGTTAAAAACAGAGGTATCAAAGTCTTGTTATAGACTTAGGTTCAACAGGGGGTTCTTCACTAATCCTTATACAGCAAAAATAATAGAGATATCAAAATCTTGAAGTAGTAACAATGTCAACTTAAGGTCGTAAAACAGTGATATAAAGAGCTTACTTTGCCATTCGTCGATCATTGTCAAACATGCTCTTCTGTAGGAGGAGGTTGATAGAGATGGGGTGTAGGACATGCTGAGGGGACTTTTCAGCTGATCTGACGGAATTCCAGTCCTCTCCTGGACAAAAATAGACAGTTTTTTTTTACTTTTGAATAGAGTGGAAATTTTAGCGAGTCGCAAATTCAGCGATCTGTCTTTAAAATATGGTACTTTATTTTTAACAAGAAGTAATTTTAGCGCTTTTAAAATGCTCACTAAAGAAGCTTCTACAATTTAAACAAAGTTTATTCTTAGAAACATTTAATTTTAGTGATCTTAGAACCCTCCCTAATAATGCTAAAATTAAATCCTCACTAAATATTCTGCTTATACGGTACAACCCAGATAAACACTAAAAATATAGAATACAAACTTTTACAGAGAAAAGTGTTGAAGAATTTTCATCAATATCAAATTTACCAATGAAAGAGAATTTAATATACAGTGGACCCTCATTTATCCGGACGCTTTGGTTCTCAGTCAAATTGTCCGGATATGTGAAGCATGCGGATATCTGAATCACCAGTTAAACAAGACAAAATAACATTTAAAAAATTTGTTCCGATGAAAAATCGTCCGGATACTGAAGCATCCGGATATCTGGCGTCCGGATATCTGAAGGTCCACTGTAATCTTGGAAAGTTGAGTTTTGCATTAAAGAAAACAAGAGGCCCATGGGCCACATCGCTCACCTGAGAAGCTTTGACCATTCTGTTCTTTACCAGATTTCCCCCTTGTTATACATAATGCATCCCCACCCTACCCCACTGATCATAATTTAGACATTTTGAAATCTACACTAACCCAAGATCCTTTCATGGGCACATATGTTTCAGCTTTTTTGGCCCAGTGGTTCCTGAGAAGAAGATTTTCAAATTTTTTTTCTATATATTTCTATGTAAAACTTTGATTCCCTATAATGGCACTGCCCTTCCCCCGGGGGTCATGATTCCTATAATTTAGAATTTACACTACCCTAGAATGCTTCTATATATATAAGCTTCACTTTTTCTGGCCCAGTGGTTCTTGAGAAGAAGATTTTCAAAGATTTTTCCTATATATTTCTATATAAAAATTGTATTCCCCATTGTGGCCCCGCCCTTCATCCGGGGGTCATTATTTGAACAATTTAGAATCTACATTATACCAGGATGCTTCCACATAAGTTTCAGCTTTTCTGGCCCAGTGGTTCTTGAGAAGAAGATTTTCAAAGATTTTTCCTATATATTTCTATGTAAAACTTTGATACCCCATTGTGGCCCCGCCCTTCCCCCGGGGGTCATGATTTGAACAATTTAGAATCTACACTACCCCAGGGTACTTCCACCTAAGTTTCAGCTTTACTGGCCCAGTGGTTCTTGAGAAGAAGATTTTCAAAGATTTTTCCTATATATTTCTATAAAAAACTTTGATTCCCCATTGTAGCCCCACCCTTCCCCCAGGGGTCATTATTTTAACAATTTAGAATCTACATTATACCAAGATGCTTCCACATAAGTTTCAGCTTTTCTGGCCCAGTGGTTCTTGAGAAGAAGATTTTCAACGATTTTTCCAATATATATTTCTATGTAAAACTTTGATTCCCCATTGTGGCCCCTCCCTTCTCCCGGGGGTCATGATGTGAACAATTTAGAATCTACATTATACCAAGATGCTTCCACATAAGTTTCAGCTTTTCTGGCCCAGTGGTTCTTGAGAAGAAGATTTTCAAAGATTTTTCCTATATATTTCTATATAAAACTTTGATTCCCCATTGTGGCCCCGCCCTTCTCCCGGGGGTCATGATGTGAACAATTTAGAATCTACATTATACCAAGATGCTTCCACATAAGTTTCAGCTTTTCTGGCCCAGTGGTTCTTGAGAAGAAGATTTTCAAAGATTTTTCCTATATATTTCTATATAAAACTTTGATTCCCCATTGTGGCCCCGCCCTTCCCCCGGGGGTCATGATTTGAACAATTTAGAATCTACACTACCCCAGGATGCTTCCACATAAGTTTCAGCTTTTCTGGCCCAGTGGTTCTTGAGAAGAAGATTTTTTAATGACCCAACCCTATTTTTGTCTTTTCTTGATTATCTCCCCTTGCGAGGGGATATGTCCCTTCATTTTAACAATTTAAATTTCCCTTCACCCAGGGATGCTTTGTACCAAGTTTGGTCAAAATTGGCCCAGTGGTTCTTGAGAAGAAGTCGAAAATGTGAAAAGTTTACAGACGCACAGACAGACAGACGGACAGACGGACGGACAGACGGACGGACGACGGACAAAATGTGATCAGAAAAGCTCACTTGAGCCTTCGGCTCAGGTGAGCTAAAAAAAGTTACTGACCAAATTCATTAAGTTCTTCTTACCTGGTTTTGCGAATAATATTTGAATCTGATCCAACTTGATTTTGAAGTTGTCGTACGCCCTGGACATCATGTCTTCTACAGCTAAGGACTAGAAAACACACAGTACAGCTTTAGACAGAAATAAGAGTACCAGGATATGATACTATTCTGTGTCTGGGATTAGGGCAGCAATATTCATAGGTCTATATACTATCCAGGGAGAAATAAGTAGACAGGGGATGTTCAGTTCTCCATGGTAACTGATCCCACTTCTGCTCCAACATTTGTATTGTTTGATGGACTTTTGAGTTTGAATACTCTTCATAATCTCCATATATTTCATATTATAGTATACCAGTGGTTCAAAAGATATTGGTTTGGTTAAAAATTTCATTTGGGAGATATTTTTTTCAAAACAACTGACAAGGGACTAGTTATTCAGATCACTAAAGGCAAGATCTAGGATAAGATAAAATCCAGATGGACAAGTTTCACTGTAATCTATTATTGTCATCAAAATACTTAATATTTCCTGTAAAACAAAACATATAATTAGTGTTACAGCTTACAGTGTTGAATATTGTTAATAATATGCTGACATTGGGCAGCTAGTTATTAATTAAGTATACACTTATCCACTAATCTCATTCAGAATTCTATTTTCAATGAAAATTTCACACTGCATATCTAATTCTGTAGTCTTCATTGTCAAATTACTAGTTTGTAAAGCAGAAATTTTGAATTTATGAGAAAAAAAGAAAAATATGTAGAACTAAGTACCATGTGATATTTATAGTATTACACCAATATTCCCTCTCATAAAGAGAGAGGAAATTAAATCACAAGGTCTTTATAAAAATCTAAATTATTCCAGAAAAAAAAGAAAATAGAGAATTACAGTATTTTTAAAAAAAATCATGCAAAAAAGAAGTTGAAATAAAAAAAACTATAATTATTAAAATAGGAGAGTCTATCCTGCACTTTATCCCCATCTATAACACCATAAAATTCTGTCCATTGTTAAACAAATCTGAGAAAACCATAACATTGTAGATCAGTAGATTTCTTTTTTAAAAAAAATATATGTAAAAAATAAAATAATTCATTCAATAATTAGGGAAATATTTCCATCCAACAAGTTTTTCTGAACCAAGGTAACCTTGTACCCCAAAGATGTATTCTAAAGGAAGTAAAAAAGTATAGAGACAGAAGAAATGCAGTGGGTTCCAGGAGGACATTGTATTTCTAGCTTTTTTTATGTTCAGGCAGGAACCCACTGTTTCTAAGTAAAATAGTGTAAACTAAACTACCATCTTTGGATCAAAAACTTTTTGTGCTGCTTTCCAACCCATTTGCTGAATGAAAATTATAATTTATTTATATTGTACTGATAGAAGGTACACAATTTATCTAATAATTAAACGAAAATGAATGTTTAAAAAAAATAGTCATGAACACACAATAAATCTTTTTCTTTAATATATAATCTTTTTTAAATCTCCTGTTTGCACATAATGAACTAAATTGTCCTTTTGTTTGAAACTGAGTTACAATAATTCCACAAAATCTACATCAATAATTTCTATCAGTGTGAAAGGTTCCAATAATAAATATCTAAATAATCATAATAATTATAAATGCCTTGTGTTTGTTACTATAAATACCTTGCTGTCTCCAACTTTATTTTTCTCACTATTGACCTTCAAATTTCCAAGGTCAAGGACAAGAATGTTTACAGCACCCCTGGAAAAATAAGAGAAAATATATCATTCATTTACAAATTTCTTCGGGATTTGATTTTAAAACAGAAGTTTTTGAAATAATTATTTCTTAAAAACAAAAATCTCCGTATCAAAACATCTTTGAAATAATGTATTGCTTGCCCTCTCCCAACTCAGAGCAAAATATTTGGGTCGATAGGTAGCTTTTTTTCAGAAAATTTCCATGTCTGTTAATTGGATAATAGGAATGAAAAGAAAAAAAACTGTGTCCTGAAATGTAAAAAGAGTTTTCAGTTGGGCCATTTTTAGTCAGTGGGTCGGGAGAGGACAACCAAACCATTTTTAAACATGTCCTCACTTACTTTTTATAGTATCCCTCGAGTGGTATAATGACGTGGAATGGCTTGAGGTCCACTCGTATGTCTGTGTACTTGTGTTGTTATTGTACATAATTACTTTTTATAGTATCCCTCGTGTGGTATAATACTTACTTTTTATAGTATCCCCATATGATATAATACTTACTTTTTAAAGTATCCCCTGTGTGGTATAATGACGTGGAATGGCTTGAGGTCCACTCGTATGTCTGTGTACTTGTGTTGTTATTGTACATAATTACTTTTTATAGTATCCCTCGTGTGGTATAATACTTACTTTTTATAGTATCCCCATGTGATATAATACTTACTTTTTATAGTATCCCCCGTGTGGTATAATGACATGGGACGGCTTGAGGTCCACTCGTATGTCCGTGTACTTGTGTTGTTATTGTACATACTTACTTTTTATAGTATCCCCCATGTGGTATAATGACATGAGACGGTTTGAAGTCGACTCGTATGTCCGTGTACTTGTGTTGTTATTTGTACATACTTACTTTTTAAAGTATCCCCCGTGTGGTATAATGACGTGGGACGGCTTGAGGTCCACTCGTATGTCCGTGTACTTGTGTTGTTCTATTGTACATACTTACTTTTTATAGTATCCCCCGTGTGGTATAATGACATGGGACGGCTTGAGGTCCACTCGTATGTCTGTATACTTGTGTTGTTCTATTGCGTGCTTCAGTCCTGTCGCAGACTGCTCTTTGATGTCCTCAAACTTCGCCATAGCAGCTCTCGACAACCTGCAGAAAATAGCAATGCTAATTAATAACTGTATCTAGCAGCTTGCAAAAATCTACCCAAAATGTCAAGTTTGTTAATAATTATATGTAGAATGATAGCAGCTCACTACAACCTAGAGAAAATGTAGACTTAATAAAAAGTCAAATCTAGAATGAAGCCTTAAAACAATGTTATGGTGCAAATGAATAATATTCATTGAAATGAGAAATATGTGTGAGAAGTACATTAAAATGGTAAAACTTGTGGATAAAAGTTGTTTGACAGTTTATACTTACTGCTTAAGGTAGACCTCCTTTGGTGGTTTGAAAAAGTCTGCCATGTTGTTGATAGAAATCTGCATTAAATTTGTTTAATACATAGAATATATCTTATGATGAGTAACTTTTTCCAATCAAATTAAACAATCCAAAATCTATTTATAAAAAAAGAAATTCTGACATCAAGCTAACTGCAAAGCTAACTAATATGTGGATCAAAAATGTTGCCATTAAAAGTTTTCACTTTAATTTTTCTTTAAATTATAAAAGGGAGGTAACTGTAGATTACAAACTCACTGCATCATAAATGATCTGTAACGGTCGGGCATCCAGAACGACCCTGGTGTCACAGCTACGGTCCAGCGGATTCGTCTCAAAGTTAAAGTTCAGCAGGGAGTACACCACCTTCTTATCCTCGTTTAAGGACACCACTATTTTGGGAGTGCTGCCCCCTTGTGGTGAACCGGCCACTATGAATCTATCTATCTTCCCTTCCACCCTGTAAATATTTAGTTAATTAAAACAAAAGAGAAAAACAAATAAAACCCTTTATTTCCTATCTAGCTTGTAACATGAGCTTTGATTGGTTACAAAGTCGGGTGTAAATATCCGTGCACCCGATTTGAGCAGGTGTAGCATAATATTTTGATACCACAATATATTGAACCCGGGTTCAATATATCGCATACTATTTTGAACCCGGGTTCACTTTTTCGCTGCAATATATTGACCCCCCCTATAAAATATTGAACCCCCACCTTTTTCATTCAAAAGGGAAGGGGCTCAAAATATTATGGCCATAAAATATTGACTCCCCCTGCCCTTTTAATTTTATAAGGAGGGGTTCAAAATATATGGCCATAAAATATTGAGTCCCCCTGCTCTTTTAGGTTTAGCCCCCCTGCCCAATTCATTAAGAGGGAGGGGGGTTCAAATTGTTATGGCCATAAAATATTGAGTCCCCCTGACCTTCTTAATTATGAGGGTGGGGGGTTCAAAATATTATGGCCATAAAATATCGACTCCCCCTGCCCTTTTAATTTATGAAGAGGGGGGGTTCAAAATATTATGGCCATAAAATATTGAGTCCCCCTGCCCTTTTAATTTATGAAGGAGGGGGGTTCAAAATATTATGGCCATAAAAAATCAACTCCCCTTGCCCTTTTAATTTATGAAGGAGGGGGGTTCAAAATATTATGGCCATAAAATATTGACTCCCCCTGACAGAGGGACTCAATATTTTATGGCCATAATATTTTGAACCCCCACCCACTAAACTTAAAAGGGTAGGGGGGACTCAATATTTTAGGGCCATAATATTTTGAACCCCCCTCCCTATAAAATTAAAAGGGCAGGGGGACTCAATATTTTATGGCCATAATATTTTGAACCCCCTCCCTCTAAACTTAAAAGAACAGGGGGACTCAATATTTTATGGCCATAATATTTTGAACCCCCTCCTTCATAAGTTATATGGGCATGGGGGACTCAATATTTCATGGCCATAATATTTTGAACCCCCCTCCCTCTTAAATTAAAAGGGCAGGGGACTCGATAATTTATGGCCATAATATTTTGAACCCCCTGTTTCATAAATCAAAAGGGGGACTCAATATTTTATGGCCATAATATTTTGAACCCCCCTCCTTATAAAATTAAAAGGGCAGGGGGACTCAATATTTTATGGCCATAATATTTTAACCCCCTCCCTCTTAATGAAAAGGGCAGGGGGACTCAATATTTTATGGCCATAATATTTTGAACCCCCTCCCTCTAAACTTAAAAGAACAGGGGGACTCAATATTTTATGGCCATAATATTTTGAACCCCCCTCCGACATAAATCAAAAGGGCAGGGGGACTCAATATTTTATGGCCATAATATTTTGAACCCCCCTCCCTCTAAACTTAAAAGAACAGGGGGACTCAATATTTTATGGCCATAACAATTTGAACCCCCCTCCCTCTTAATGAAAAGGGCAGGGGGTCTAAACCTAAAAGAGCAGGGGGACTCAATATTTTATGGCCATAATATTTTGAACCCCCCTTCTTATAAAATTAAAAGGGGAGGGGGACTCAATATTTAATGGCCATAATATTTTAAAACCTCTTCCCTCTTAATGAAAAGGGTAGGGGGAGTCAATATTTTATGGCCATAATATTTTGAACCCCCTCCCTCTAAACTTAAAAGAACAAGGGGAATCAATATTTTATGGCCATAATATTTTAAACCCCCCTCCCTATAAAATTTAAAGGGCAGGGAGACTCAATATTTTATGGCCATAACAATTTGAACCCCCCTCCGTCTTAATGAAAAGGGCAGGGGGACTCAATATTTTATGGCCATAATATTTTGAACCCCCTCCCTCTAAACCTAAAAGAGCAGGGGGACTTGCTATTTTATGGCCATAATATTTTGAACCCCGGGTTCAATATTTTATAGGGGGGTTCAATTTTTTGCTGCGATATTTTGAACCCAGGTTCAAAATATCGCGGGGTTAAATATATTATATGACACCGGGTGTAAATAAAACGTGACGTCACAATGCATACATTGTTGTACGTAGTTATCTAGTCGATAGATTGAGACACACTCTGATGTTTTCAAAGCATTTTTATGGGTACAAAGAAAATAAATTCGTTATCCAGGTCCAGTCAAGGGTGTACGGGGATTTACTCCGGGTTATATTCCATACACCCTTCGGCCTCAGGGTGTATGGAATAAAACGTGGGATAAATCCCCGTACACTCTTGACTGGACCTGGATAACTAATAACATATACATGTACTTCCCTAGTGCATTTGATTAGATAACTTTTGATACATATTGCACCATGCTATCCTTTAGATTTTGACCTACACTTGGATTACTTAATTGAGTTGGTAACTTTTGATAGATACTGTATTGCACTATCTGCTGGCCTTTGACCCATACTTACATTTTTAGAGTAGATAACTTTTAATGCATACTGTATTGCACTATCCGCTGGCCTTTGACATATACTCGCATTACTTACTTTGAGTAGATAACTTTGATACTTACTGTATTGCACTATCTACTGACCTTTGAACAAAACATGCATACATAATTTGAATAGGTAACTTTTAATACGTACTGTATTGCACTATCCGCTGGCCTTTGACCTACACTTGCATACACGTCTCTCAACTGCAGTTTAAGAATCTGTGGCTCCCTGAAATTTAAAGTCACTAAGTTAACAAAAACAGTAAATATATGATTTTTTTTTCAATAATCTTTGATGCATACTGCTCACAATTACATTAAGAGAAAAGTAGTTTTAATGACACCACATGTTTCATTCAAATGCAATGCAAGAAATACACTGTATGAACAAAGATGTTTATGTTTGATTCATTTTAAATTTTGTTGGATGAGGCTTTTCTTTTAGGACTATAAATAGAGAAAATTACACATGAAAAGAACTTTTAAAGAACTTGTCAATGACTTTGAAATGGCCCCTTACTTCTTTGACTCGTCATTGAGAGTCACAGACAAACCACTCAGCTTGGTTACCAGTCTCACTGCTACGTACTAGCAAAAAAAAAAAAAAAAAAAAATTTATTGACCGAATTCAAGGGCAACGTGTTTTGTCGGACCCAAGAACCAAACTGTCTGCCTGAGGTCGTTAAGCTGAAGGCAGTCAGTTTGGTTCGAGGGTCGACAAAACGCATTTTGCCCGAGAACTCTGTCAATAAATGTTTTGTTATACATGTACCTTTAATTTTAATATTTTTTTTTTTTGCATACAAGTATTTTAATCTGTATTTCATGATGTAACCTCAGATTCGTCACTTTTAAACACCAATGAATGAAAATGAGATAATGCTCTACCCATTCTGTGACGCAAGTCTCATCGACCGGTCCAACATCTCACTAAGCAGTCCAACATCAATTTTTTTATGCCCGCTCAGCAAAACATTAGATATGTTGGACTTTTTTATGCAAAGATTTGTATAGGAACAATTTTTTAAAGGTATAACAACATGTGCATATTTATATGAAACATATAACTTTCCTATAATTTGTTGTTTACACTTTTTCAAAAGATGTTTTATCACTTTATTCCATGATTCTTCCTACACTTTATCTGATATTTTTTTTAACACTTTCATCAATTGATTTTTTAAGGCTTCATCAGATGGTCTGAGATCACACCCACCTCTCGGGGTAAGGTCGGATCCGCCTCGTTCTCTTGGTAACCAATGGCCTGGTAAAGCTTGGCTTTCTCTTTCTCATTAAACTCATCTTGAAACTGTTCCTCTAAAAACAATATAGGGAGATCATTTATAGAATTATTAAAAGCAAACACCTCTACACAATGCATTTCTATGGAACTAAAATACCAAAGAACATACTTTAAATATATCTTGTATGAGTTTTAATTGAAATTTTTTTGATAATCTATTAAAAGCAACATTTTCTTCTGAACTCTTTGAAGTGAAATTTATATCATGATCTATTTATAGTAACATTATCTTTTTTAGTAACATTTATTGATAATCTATTTATAGTAACATTTATTAATGTCTATTTATAGTAACATTACCTTTTTTTGTAACATTGATTGATGCTCTATTTATAGTGACATTTATTAATGTCTATTTATAGTAACACAATCAATCTATTTATAGTAACACAATCAATCTATTTATAGATATACTCACTGATGTCTTTCTCCTCCTTGTCTTCCTTCTTTTTCTTCTTTCCACCAAACAACCCCCCGAACCACCCTCCTGATTTCTCCTCCTCCTTCTTCGCCCCGAGCTTAGCTGCCTGTGGAGACACATTTATCATTGCTTGAGGCCACAACATGATAATGTCATTTATCATTACCTGATGTTTTATTCATAAAAAGATTTATTGATGATTATTTTTAGACCCACCCCCTCCCCAATTTTTCCTCCTCTTTCTTAGCCACGAGTTTGGCTGCCTGTGAAGACACATGTATCATTGCTTGAGGCCACAGCATTTATTAAGTTGTTTATTAGAATAACACATAAAACAAGATTAATCCTATAATGAAAAATTTTAAAAGTCTCTTTGTTTTTGTGGTTATAGGGAGATCCAGAAATTCATCTCATTCCGCAATATGACATTTTTTAAAAGTTTATGAGGAATGTGACCTTCTTCTAATCATAATGACACCTTTCACTAATTTTGCCTGTGTTAGAAATTACTAGATAGAATTATCTTGTCTGAATGTTTTCTTTAAAACTTGTCAAAAAATTATCTCACCTCGACCTCCGCCTGTCCTCTCATCAGAGTGATAGAAAACACGTCCAGAAACTTCTCATATTCCTGGTCAACAGAAAATTATTAGTGAAAATATCGTCCCTAAAAAACTACTAAAATGTGAAAACACGTTCAGAAACTTCTCATATTCTTCGTAAACAGAAAATGATTTGCAAGAATATCATCCCCAAATAACTACTAAAAAGTACTGGTTCCCCTCTCATAATGTAAAACATAACTGATCGTTAAACAGTGTAAACAGAGTAACTAGTTAGATCTGTCTGAGTTGTACATCCTTTGCCCCACTTTTAAGATTGGATAACATACCTCTATTTCTCTTTGTATATCCTTTGACACACTTTTAGGATTGGCTAACCTCTTGGTGTACATGTCTCTGTACTTCTTCATGGCGACACGGTGCTTCATGATGTGATCCCAGGAAAACATGCGGCGCCGTCTACGAACTTTCTCTTCCAGGACACTGTCCCGAGCAAAGTGCCACCTATAATCAAACAATCTTTTTATAATAGGCACAAAATCAATGAAAAATAATGGAAAAGTAGCTTTTACAGTAAAACTCGGTTATAGCGAAGTCCTGGGGACCTGTGAATTTAATTCATTATATCCGTAATTCGTTATATCCGTCTAACGAATTTGTATCACAATTATAGAGAATTCGCACTCTGCATGTTTTCTTTCAAGTATTTCTACCAACTATGTAAGTGAAGCAAATATTACAAAACATATCTTCGATACCTAAGTTTTTCTTATGAATTGATTTTATATACAAATGCTTAAAGGAAATAAAGTAAGTTAAATTTATCATTTTTTTATAATCTTTGAAAAATCGTTATAAAAGATGTAAATTTCATTATATTTAACATCAATGGGACTAAAAATCAGTTCGCTATATCCGTATATCCGTAAGTTCGTTATAACCGTAAAATTTTACAAGGATTTGTTAAGAATTTTGCCGGGGACCCAGAAAAACTTCGCTATATCCGTGAATTCGCTATATCCGTGTTCGTACTAAATACTAAACGATTTTTACTGTATATGCATAAAAGAAACAAAAATTGCAAGCAGCCTTAGCTTGAGATTATTTTTTTATAAATGAGGGAATCCTGATCAAAAAATTATTGGTCACAGATTGATCTCCTAGTTTTCTTCATGGAAAAAAAAGTGTCATGTAGATCATACAAGAGCTGCTTATCCTCTGAGATTTTTTCTGCATACTGTAGATCACTTAATTTTCGCGACACCTTATTTTCGCGAGTTAGTCATTGACTCTTTATTAGCGAGACAAAATTTTCACGAATTGTTCTCATTGCTCTATAGAATCTTAAGGAATTCTATTTTACGCGAGAATGAAATTTTCACGAGCATACCGTCTCGCGTAATTACGCGAAAATAAAGTTCTCACGAATTTAAAGTGATTTACAGTACATACCATGTTTTAACGTGTTTATGGAGTGGGACATTGGGGGGGTATTTCTATACGTACCATGTTTTGGCGTTTTTATGGAGTGGAACATTAGGGCGATATTTCCTATAAACACTCATCAGGTACATTCTCTCTGCAGACTCCAGCATCTCTAGGACATCATTGTACTGAAAAACACAACACACTGACAGTCTTTTTATGGTGAAATACACTGTACAGTAGTATAGTGTAATACTGATGGTGAGGAGTTAAATGTAAACTTCCTCTTACAAAAAGCATCAAGTGAGTACAGCTTAAAGCCAATTTTGGAAGTCAAATATACTGATTTATATTTAGAACAAAATTCCCATTCTCGTAATATCCACCACCTTGTATGATATACAGGGAAATTTTTGCCCCCGTTTTTTATTCACCCTTTTCATCCTGTTCAAAGTTGGGCAAATTTAATATGAAACAAATTCAGAGAATAAAATCTGTGAGCCAATGCTCACTAGTAATACCCCTGCTCTGATGTAAATAAGCACTATCATGTTAATATACACAAGTTCAATTACAGGCAGATGCACAGAAAAATATGAAGTTGACATCAGATTCATATCAAAATTGATCCCACCATATGGCATGCCTCAGCAAAGAGTGTAATAAAATTTCAAGCATCTGCTATGAATAGCTAATGAGAAAACTGTGACGAAAATCTGTTGTGTATGAAACGGACAGACACACAGACAAACAGGAAGTTGACATCTGATTTGAACAAAAATGTATCCCATCCATATGGCATGCCTCAGAGAAGATTGTGTTAAAATTTCAAGCATCTACGATGAGTAGTTGCTGAGAAAACTGCAACGAAAATTTGTTTCGGACAGACACACGTACACACAGCTACATGGACACACAGACACACAGAAAGACGTACAGACAGACAGACACACAAGGGTAAAACAGTATACCCCCCTCTCCTTCGGAGCGGGGGTATAATAACATAATTTCGAACCATGACTGGGCAAATTAAAATGGGGCAAAATTGTTAGCAAATGTAAAAGGGCAAAACTAACATGGGGCAAAATAACCCTGTATACAGTAATTATGAGAACAACCTACCTGTCGTTTGGACAGTCCGATTCCGATCTCATCAAACACGACCGTGAGGAATGCCTTAGGGGAGGTGAAGTTAGCCAACTCGGGCTTCATGTTCAGTTTGAGATGAGCCACAGAAGAGATGGGCTTAATTACTGAAATAATAATCAAAGTACTGAGAGGACTGAAGTGATTGCTAATTAATCATCAAAGTACTGAGAAGACTGGAATGATTATTAATTAATCATCAAAGTACTGAGAAGACTGGAATGATTATTAATTAATCATCAAAGTACTGAGAAGACTGGAATGATTACTGAAACTGAGAGAACTGGAATACAATCAAAGTACTGAGACAAATGAGATGATTACCATGATTCAGTGCTCCAAGTTGCGACTAAAATGGTCGCATTTGCGACCAAAAAATTGATTTTGCGACTAGAAATGAAAACACAATCGCATTTTCGCGACTGAGAAAATTTGGGCTGGAAACGTCCAACTTTTAAGATCGGGATTGAGATTTCATTTGTAAAGATTCTTTATCAAGAAAATGTTTGAAGACATATACTTAAATACACTTTACAAAGCGTGGCATGGACGTAGATCACGTAATGTTATGACAGCATGGCATGCTGTACAAAGTTTGATAGAATCTGAACCAGAGACGTGGACAAATAATGTTCCTGATAGAATGGCATCCAAACTTCGTACACTTTTTAAGATCCGACCTTGTTATTGAAGCATTTGATCAATATGTTGCATATCAAAATGAATCATGATTGTATTATCATGCAAATACAGAGTGTTTTGGCGGCATTTATAATGACTGTGTAATTTGTAGGCACGTAGTAGTAAGTAAACATGACAAACAGCAGGCAAAGTCCTGTCTCAACAGCTGTCAAGCTTGTATTTTCATTTGATAAAATTTTATTTCTGTAATCAGATTACTTGTGTTCTTCTTTACAACATGTATTCAATAAAATATTTCATTCAACCTAGCAAATTTTTATAGTCACAGTAATAAGTAATCTATGATACAATAAAGACATAATACATATCATTATTTAAATTTTCAAGTTTTATTCACAAAATGTTTTTTTTATGGCGAGTGAAATATTTGATTATGGCGACCAAAAATTCTGAAATGGCGACCAAAAAAATTTTTAGGTCGCCATTTTGCGACCTGAGAGCAAGTGTGACTTGGAGCACTGTGATTACTGAAAAAATTATCAAAATATTGAGAGGATTGGAATGATTGCTAATTAATCATCAAAGTACTGAGAAGACTGGAATTTTTACTGAAACTGATAGGACTGGAATGGCAACTAAATATAATTAATGTACTGAGAGGACTGTAATAATGATTACATGCAATGAGTGTACTGAGAGGACTGGGATGTTACTGAAATAAAAATACTGAAAGGACAGGCATGGTAACTTAAATATAATCTAAATAAAAATACTGAAAGGACAGGCATGGTAACTTAAATATAATCTAAGTACTGAGAGGACTTGTATGATAACTAAATACAATCGAACAATACAAATCTGTTAACAAGGTATAAGACACAGACTGCTAGAAATGGTGAAGATGGGATCAGATTCCTAGGAAGTTTATTTTATAGACGTGCAGAATTTTCCTTATTTACAGACCCCAGGGTAACCTAAATATGATTCTCATTGCTCACAAGACATGTGTGGTGACCTACATACAATGTATTAAATGAGACTCACAGAACTGGTGTGTTGTCGCCTTATCTTTTCCAGGAATCTCTCTCCCAAGCTTCTCCTGAAATCAGAATGAAACAAATTCCTCAAACAGCAATCAGTAATAGGTCCATACTGCAACTATAGACCAATTATAACTTGTGTCATCTTTTATTCACAATTTCAGTTTGAAATTAAACCATGACTGAGGAAATTTTTCTACATTCTAAAACAAAGTTATTGGTTAAAGTAGGTCATGGAACTTGCAGATATTTCTTGCACATGAAAAATAGTTGATTTACTGACAGTTTTTTAAGTTAAATTATGATGCAGACACGTAGTTATGTTTTGTGGTTCCCACATAACCCTTTGAATCAACAAATTCTGAATAACTGTAATTAGATATCATTCACAATAATTTTCACTTCTGGACCGAACATTTGAGACAAAGAGGTAGAGCCACTTTGGGCTTAATTTGGCCCTGGGAATTTCTGAAAATTCAAAACCGATCAGTTTAGGTTGCAAATACAGTATTTATCACTTGGACTGTTGGTGACCACGTATCTATTAATTGTGACGTCATTTCACGTCTAGTCAGTGCATTATGACGTCATAAAATGCGTCATTTTCCTCATATACCGTAAATTCCTTTGAAAATGACCTAAAGTTGAAGCGTTTTTTCAATATTTCATATAGAGCACAACCTCCGATCCAAAATATGCGAAAACATAATGAAAGGTCTATTTCTGAAGATCAAAAAACATGTTTTATTTTTTGGATCGTGGGCTGTGCTCATATTTTAATTCTTTGCTGAAGGTAGTCAAATACGCATATTTTCTGCAAATTTCAAGAACATTACAATTTCTCAAAGCCTGTTTTCAAATATTTTGATTCTCAAAACAAAATTTCATTATAGAGCATGAAAGCACCAAGTGTCTACTTTATTTTGATATATGGAAATGGAAAGAAGGTGATACTTAATTAATTGA